TGGATGACGATGCCTACAAGGAGCAAGGCCAATACCCACCATTTACTGGACGTTGGACGACCACCTCTTCATACAACGTGTACATGGTTGATACACCTAAAAGATCTGGCGACAACAAAGAAGAGCCGGATGCGAACAAAACCTCCGAGACACAGTCCAAGCGCCGGCAGCCCAAACGCCGCCCCAAGCCCCGCCGCTCAAAGGACGGCAACACTGGCACCAGAGAGAATAGTACTCCGGGCGACGCCAATGAAGACCCTGTAGGGGCTACACCCGAAGAGGAACACGACAGCAGGGAAGACAACCCTGACGAACAGGCCATAGAAGATGACTCGGAGGATGATAGTTACCATCCACCTTCCGAGGAGGAGACAAGCCTTGGCAACAAAGACTTCATCGTGCCTGAGGATCCTCTCGAGCAGGAGCGCTTTAAGCTTCAGCTCATAGCCACTGCAAGGAGCCTGAAAAAGAAACAACAACAGCTTCAAGCTGAACAAGACATGCTCGTTGACAGATGGACTGATGTCCTGACAGCCGAGCAATATGGCCTCAACCGCCCAGCCAAGAGCTACCCGAAGCGCAGACTGCTACCTCAATTCGATGAGGAGGCACCGGAGCACATATCTCCCTCGCGTAGTGCGGACCGACCACCACCTGGTCGGGACAGGGCGGCTGAACGGCCCCCTGCTGTTGGGATAAAGCGGCAACTCAGTCCGAACAGCAGCCCGCCCCACCGCCTCGCAAAAACAGGGACAGACCAGCTCGGGACCATACATACGATCTTCGGAAGGAATTGGACAATAGAGCAGGACACAACAGATCTATATACTGATCGCGAGGACGTTTCCATACTCGGGACGACAACTACCTACCGCAGATGGACGTCGTTGGAGACACGCCATGACGCGGCCCGCTATAGAGGTGCCGCACACCCCCTCTGTTTCACAGATGAGGTGCTGGATCATGAATTCCCCGAGGGGTTCAAGCCTGTCAATATTGAATCATACGACGGAACAACCGACCCCGCAGTGTGGATCGAAGATTTTATTCTTCACATACACATGGCCCGAGGAGATGACCTCCATGCCATCAAATACCTCCCATTAAAGCTCAAAGGACCAGCTTGACACTGGCTAAATAGTCTGCCTGAGAACTCCATCGGTAGCTGGGAGAACTTGGAAGAAGCCTTCTGTCATGGAATTGTCACGGTAGATGTCCTAGTGTGAGGACTTAGTCGTGAGGCCAACGCATCTTTATAGTACCTTGAGAGGGGTTGAGCGGAATCGAGAGACGCAACACAAGACAAGGATTTAGACAGCTTCGGCCCCCGGGAAACATCGTCCGGAATAGCCCTACATGCTGTTTGTGGCTAGATCTCATTATGCTCATGAGAGAGTCGCCGCATAAGCCGGCTCCCCCTTTGTGTCTAGCCCTAGAGATTGTTTCTTGTCCCCTCTTTGGGGAGCCCTACCCCTCCTTATATATGTTGAAGGGGCGGGTTACATGACTAGTCCTAGTAGGATTAGGATTACTCTATTACAAGTGGAGTCCTAGTCTTGCTTCCTTTGTAGGAGAATATTCCTTATGACTTTCCTCTTAAGCCGGCCCACCATAACATGAGTTGGTCTTCTGGGCCTTGGGCCTTGTCATCCATCTGAAACACCCGTCGGGTCACTAATGAGCCGCCAAGATCAGGCGGGTTACCCGTGAGTCGCCAAGCTCCGGGCGGGTCACCAGTGAGTCGCCAAGATCCATCCGGGTCATACATCCAGCCGGGTTACACCGCGAGGTATATCCCCGACAAGTCCCGTCTATATTTTCTAGACCTCTCTCTTGCAAATCGTGTTGTTGTCATCATCCACCAAAAAGGGGGAGATTGTAAGGGCATTTCCCTACTTTGTGTTTTGGATGATGATGACAACCCTTTGTTGGTCTAATCTTGTGATAAGTGCTTCAGGTTCTCGGTGATTAGCCTTACATCGTTTAGCTATTCTTTCTAAGGAAAATATCGAAGACGGAGTTTGTCTACGTGTTTATCTCTTTGGTCGTAGGGAACATGTACTATTAAGAGGGAATCCACATTGGAAGGAGTTGGGGGAATCATTGCACATACACTTCTGCCACACCCTCTTTTGCCTTCCTTACTTTGTGTGTGAGAGAGAGAGAGCTCCCCTTCTGTTTCAGCTGCTTGATGTGTTCTCCCAGCGATTGTACCACTCACTCGAGCGGTTGTACAGTTGGCCACTGGCTCTAGACAACCACCACCCCAGGGGTGATACCCTGGGGTTGAACTGACCAGTCATGACCAAGCAGTTGTACCGCTGCTCCCGAGCGGTGGTACCGCCACCGTGCTTAAAATTGATCGTGGCGTCTCTCTGGCGGTTGTACCGGCCAAGTACCGCTCAACAACCGGTCCAGTTTCTATTTTGATGCGGTACTTGGGCGGTGGTGGCCCGGTTGTTCTGGTTGTGCCCCGCACACCGGTACCACCGGTGCCCCAAGCGGTTCTACCGCTTGGAACTTTGCCACCCAAGTGACCAGGGCCAGGTGGTTGCTCCGGTGCTATACCGCTCGATCACCGCACACAGGGGTGACACCCTACTGTTTCAAAGCGGTGGCTGGGCGGTTGTTCCGGTTGTTCTCCACAACCGTTACTACCACCCGTCTGCCCGGTTGTACCGCTTGATAGGGTTTCTGCAGCTTACCCATGAGTCCCGGTTGTACCAGGACGAGAAGCGGTTGTACCGCTGCAGGGCTATTTTCGCAGTAACGGTTAGATTTTAGGGTTTGGTATATAAGGGTGGTTCTTCCACCTACCACATCTACCTCTTACCTCTCTCACTCCACCATTAATGCCATTCAAGCCCCTTCTTACCTGATCTCTCACCCTAGCCACTCAAGCTTGTTGATTTCTTAGGGATTGAAGGAGGAGACATAGATCTACACTTCCACCAAAGAATATTTGCTTCCCCCATACTTTCTTGTGTGGATTTTGTTACTCTTGGGTGTTTGAGCACCCTAGACGGTTGAGGTCACCTCGGAGCCACATTCCATTATGGTGAAGCTCTGTGGTTTTGTTGGGAGCCTCCAATTCAGTTGTGAAGAGAGCCCCAAGCTTGTTTGTAAAGATTCGGTTGCCGCCTTCAAGGGCACCAATAGTGGAATCATGGCATCTTGCATTGTGTGAGGGCCTGAGGAGAATACGTTGGCCCTAGTGGCTTCTTGGGGAGCATTGTGCCTCCAAACCGCTCCAACGGAGACGTACTTCCTCTCAAAGGGAAGGAACTTCGGTAACACATCCTCGTCTTCACCGGCTTCACTCTTGGTTATCTCTTACCTTCACTTGTGCAAGCTTATTGTGTTGTATCCCTTGCTTGCTTGTGTGCTCGTTGTTGTTGCGTCATATAGGTTGCTTACCTAGTTGCATATCTAGACAACCTACTTTGATGTAATGTTTAATGGCAAAGAAAAGCTAAAAAGTGCTAGTTGCCTATTCCCCCCCCCCCTCTAGTCAACTATATCGATCCTTTCACCAAACCATCCTAGCTCTAAAGAAGTCAACCTTCTTTAAAACCCGCATTGTGATAGGATAGGATGACATCATAAAGAGGGGCATTTTAGTTAGACAGGCCCGAACCAAGTTAATTCTTCCAGCAATAGAACACAGGAGTTTACCCTTCCAGCAAGCACATCTCTTCTCAATTTCTTTCACCATGCCAACCAGTGTTTGTTTCTGATCGAAAATCCTACACTTACGGAAAGTGTGCTGCGGACTGATTTCACGCGGAGATGTGTCCTCTTCTCCACCATAAATTCACCCCTCCTTAATTTTAGCTGACCCCACCCCTTGATTTTAACTGGGCCATGTCAGTATGTAACTTCCTTTCCGTGAGAAATGGCATGTAGATGTAGCAAACCTCATTTCTGATTCTATTATCTCTGTCTAATAGTCTCGTTGAAGCTTACCAGAAAAAATAATACAACCAGAAACCGAAACGAAGCAATAAGGGTCTTATCTGGTTGATGTTTGCTGAGAGGAGATGGCATTTGTAAACGTTCTGATGGCAGTTTTAGTTAGCCGAGGGGATTCAAAACAACATGACATTTTCTGAAACCTTTCCAGAAAGGGCAATGCTACGCATCCGCCGGCTGATCAAGATCTTTTTAAAAGATCAGTCAGGTCGCGAGCCGTCGGATGTGCCATATCTAGTGAGCGAGCGTGTCTTCACCACTGCAACATGGGGCTTGTTGCAGAATTATTTCTGAAACATAGGTCTTGTTGCAGAAATTTTTTGCAACAGCTATTTTGTTGGAAAAAAAATTGCAACTGAGGTTTTGTTCTAATTTTTTTTGCAACTGAGGTCTGGTTGCGGAAAATTTCCACGAAAGATATTTTGTTGTAAAACATGACTCATCGTACACCATTGCAATACCGCATATGTTTCAGAAACATAGCCTCTGTTGCAGAAGCGCGTTTGGCGATATGCCCTCACTGGACGCGTGTCATGCAGGGGAGGTGGCAGACGCTACCGCTGCGATCCGCCGGGTGACGGTAAGCTTTTCCCTTCGAGAAAATGTCATGTTGTTCTGAAGAAACTATCATCCTCGATACAACTAAAACTGCCAAGAAAAATGTTCGAAACGTCATGCTCTCCCAGCGAACGTCAGCCATATAAGATTTTTGATAATTCCAGATAATAAGAAACACATGGTGCCATAGATTATACAACTGATCAGATATCACCGTTGGTCATATACACACAGATCCATCGTCATCCCCATCCATCGCCATCCATCCATGGCCTATTCAGTCACATAAGTACATACTGCGATCCATGCATGTCGAGTAGCGACCGAGACGAGCTAATTCAATGTAGCAAGCACGATTGATCGCTCCATGGCATATGAACACGGCATCCATGCGTCCGCATGCACGGATCGACACACCTACGACTAATCAACAACGTATTTGAGGTCCAACACCGGCACGCACGTACTACTCACAATTTGGCGCACTGCACGGGCGCGAAGGAGAGGGTGTTCTCGCCCACGTCGTACACGAACTGGATGTTCTGCTGCTGGAAGTTGCCGATGATGGACAGGCCCCGCGACCCCATCACCGTCACGCACAGCGCGCCGGACCCGGAGTCCAGCACCATGTAGTTCTCCGCCGGCAGGTCCAGGTCCGCGCCGTCGAAGTGGAACACCAGCTTCGGCACCTCCACCTGGTCCACCCCGCTCGCCGGCGCCTCGAAGCACATGTCCAGCCCGATCCCCGACCCGTCCGCCGCCGGCAGCTTCATCTGCGCCGCGAACGCCTTCTTCAGCGCGCGGTACCCCTGCAGCTCCAGGTACGTGATCGACGTGCCGGAGTCCACGATCACCCCGCCCGTGCCGTCGTCCTGCACGGCGAACGCCGAGCTCGGCAGGGCGATGTGCGTCGAGCCGACCGTCAGGCCCTTGAGGTTCACGTAGTAGAAGGACGGCTGGCTCGGGTTCTTGATGAGAGGGGTGGTCTGCACCGACGACGCGGCCGCCGCGCTCTCCGAGATGCTGGCGAGAGAGCCGAGGAGGAGCGGGCTCTTGCTCGTGTCGTCGAGGGAGGTGAGGCAGTAGGAGAACTTCTTGAGGCCGAGCTGCGAGACCAGCGAGAGGGGGCCCCGGCCGAGCCCCACGAGCCCCGCGCCCTGCGTGAACCCGTCGCCCTCGTTCGTGTCGCCGCAGCCGAAGGCGACCTCCGGGAGCTTCGTCTTGGCCAGCGTGAAGGTCTCGGCGGCCAGCACGCCCTGCGTCGACGAGGAGTCGCCGTAGGTGTACGTGTAGCCGCACTTGGCCGAGGCGCACTTAGAGCTGGGCAGGTCGCTGCAGAAGGAGCTGGAGCACGGCAGCGCGGCGTAGGTGGAGGACGACGAGGGGTCGAACACGGGCGTGCTCTGGTTGAAGCACTCCACGCAGGGCTTGCACTGCGTCCACACGAGGTCGCTGCCGGTGTCAATGATGGCCGCGTAGGCCACGGCAGGCGTTCCGATGGACATGTCCATCAGAAACTCACCGTTCCCGGCGTGCACCGGCACCTGCAGGGCCGGCGCGACGGCCTTTCTCGACATCATCGGCACGCCGGTGGTCCGCGCGACGAGCCTGGACATGCGGTGGCGGCTCCGCCTCGCCGCCCGCCGCAGCAGCTGCAGCTTGGTGTAGTTGCCGTGCGCGTCGACGTGCGTCAGGGCCACGCGCAGGCCCTCCAGGCGGCCCAGCTGGGACGACGTCGCGGCGAGGCCGCCGGTGGCGCAGCTGGCAACCACCGCCGTAGCTACCAAAAGAAGCAACCGTAGCTGCACCTGCGCCCCCATGTTTTTCGCTTTCGGCAAGTGCGAGAAGAGCAAGCTGGTGCTTAATGATCCTTGAACCGAGAAAGGCTAGATTTTATATTCTTCTCACGACATAAAACAATGATCGGTAGTTATAGTTAGGTTTGCTTTGCTCTGGCCATGACCATATCCAGACGATGGCTTGAAGTTTTAGCCTAAGCAAGAGAGGGGAAGGAAGCTGCTGGGAGAGCTGAGAAGATGGGAAAAGCCAGTGGCCGGTCAGCTGAAGCGAGCCGTGTGGGAGACTGGTACAATTGGTACCTAATTGGATGCGACAACTTCACCTCACTGCTGAGCTTCTCCTTGGCGCCTGTCGCCGCAATGATAGGAAGTCTGATTTGAGTACGTGTGCCCAGGGTGGCCTTTTAGGTCATATGGTTAAGATTTTGGTGACTACTACAGGCCTACCAGGTCAGTGGATCTCACTTTTAGAACCTTCCTTCAATTTTTTGCTTATATGACTGTAGTCGCTTGAAAATCAAATTTGGGTCAGTCAATTTTGTGAAAGCCGGATAGAAAGGAAGAAGACGCCGCCGGCTTGCCGGAGAAGCTACTCCACTATCTATCTTAGGGTGGCAAGCTATCTATCTTAGAGGTGTTTTGGAGAGTGGGGGGGTGCAGGTTAGCCTTAAAAAATGGGTTATGGTCGGGGTTAGAGGGATGGTTGGGGACAGCGGCAACACGGCGGTGGGAGACGGTTAAGGGGAGAATGGCCCG